GGTTGGTTCTGGATAGCTGGTTATGGCTTTGACTTTATCTTCAAGTGGTTTAATTCCTTGGGAATCAATGTGGTGTCCCAGGAATTCCAGTGATGAGGCGCCAAATATACACTTCGAAGGGTTGATTACAACACCATAACTTTTGAAACGTTCAAAAAGCGTGTGTAAGTGTTGAATATGTTCTTCGGTGGAAGAACTAGCGATCAAAACATCGTCGATATAGACAAACACAAAATCTAAACCTCTAGTTACTTCGTCCATAAATCTCTGAAAGGTTTGAGCGGCGTTTTTAAGTCCGAAAGGCATCCTCAAGAATTCAAACAAGCCAAAAGGTGTGATAACGGCTGTTTTTTCGATATCCTCAGGTGCCATCGGTATTTGATGGTATGCTCGGACGAGATCTAACTTTGAAAAAATCTGTTTTCCATGTAGGTTTAACGAAAAATCATGTAGATGAGGAATCGGATACCGGTCTGGGATAGTCTGGTTATTCAATCGGCGATAATCTCCACATGGGCGCCAGTCCTGATCTTTCTTGGGGACCATATGCAGCGGCGAGGCCCAAGGACTGTTAGATTGTCTGATTATTCCAAGTTGCATCATGTGTTCGAATTCTCTCTTAGCGAACTGCAACTTGTTTGGAGGGAGTCTTCTCGCCCTGGCGCGGGTGGGTGGTCCGGTGGTAGTGATATGGTGTTGCACCAGCTGTGGGTTACCCTCCTTTTGGTAATCTGATTTCGTAATGCACTGGTATTCTGTTAGAATGTCGTTGAAGATGTTGTTCACAGGTTTCATTATTCGAACACCATGGATCTCGCTGTCATTGGAGAGCGCAACATTTACCTGTAAACGTGTGTTTACGTCGATTAGTCTCTTGTTGGTCATATCTACTAACAGGTTGTACGCACTAAGAAAATCGGCCCCGAGGATGGGTCGTTTGATTTGAGCAACTATGAATACCCATGTGAATCTTCTGCGGAGCCCGAGGTCTAATATAAGAGATTGTTCTCCGTAAGTTTTGATAACTGATTCGTTATCCGCTATTAAGGACAATTTAGTGCTTGTTGTCTGTTGTCTGCGGGAGAGATGGAGTGGGTTGATGCTGATTTCTGCTCCAGTATCGACTAAAAAGTCCGAGCCAGAAATGCGATCCCTGACGTGAAATAGGCGGCTAACATGTTGGCCAGTAGCAGCTGCCGCCGTTACTGTCTGGCCGCTTCGTTTCCCTGATAGATTGGGTTGTTTGTCTTAAAGTTGCACGGTCTTGTGCAACAACGTGCTTTCTCACCATACTTCGAATGATACCAACACATTCCGGCTGCCCGCTTAGGTGACCTAAAACGATGTCTGGATACTGATCTCCTTCTGGACGTAGATCTGGGAGGTCGAGAATGGATGGTGGAAACAGTCGCCTGCAGTGATGCTAGCTGCTGTGTTAACAGTGTTATTTGTTGTTGGATGTTGAGTGCGTCGCTCATGTTTTCTGTATTTGAGGATTGTATCGCGTTAACGCCGTGACTATCAGGATATATTTCTATCATCTTATCAGCCATGTCTGCTAAATCATCAAGACTGACAGAGGCTCCTGATATGCTGAGGATTTGTCTGACGTTAAATGGTAACCTTTGTAACCATATCTGCTTAAGTAATGCTTCGTCTAACTTGTAAGGGCCTGATAGTTGTCTCATATGTCTAAGCAACTGTGAAGGTCTTTTGTCCCCTAACTCGCATGCGGTGAGTAGTTGCTGTAAGCGTTTTTCATCAGACTGCGAAAGACGGTGGATCACTGCAGCTTTTATTTTGTCATAGGGGTCCGTTTCTGGTACGTTATCTATCAGGTCACTGACTTCCGTTGCTACATCTATAGGTAGTGCACCGACGATATGGGCATATTTAGTCGCTTGTGAACGTATTGTAAGATCCAAACCTAGATTCCAATAGGTCTGGATGTGGCCGAATAACCGTCAGATAGTTTAGACACTCGTGTCTCGGTTTAAATCAAAACAAGGTATTATATTTGACACGGTTCTGTAATTCATCATATATACAAATTCACAAATTTACCTAAACGAATTATTATCACCCGGTTATTCAACCAACAATTGTTACAAAAATATCCAATCTAAATTACAATAAATAGCAAGGTGATAAGAAATATATGAAAAATTACCAAAAAACACCAAAGAATAAGCGTTATTCTATCCTTTCTGGATAGATCAAGGGAGATTTCGTTTGAGCGGTTATTTTATAACACCAAGTGTTTCAATTTCTGGGAAAGTGCTCCAAATTACAACCAAAATGCACGATCCCAGTCAAAAATCAACCGCACAATCAAATAACGAGCAGCCAATATGGCAGATGCCAGAATAATAGCAATTAAAACAAACTAGATACAGCTCAGTAAGGAACATAGAGACTCAATAAAACGATAGTAAAACCAAGAAAATTGAACGTCACAGACTTAATTAGCATAAAACTGTTAACAGCATATACAAATAAAGAAAACGTAAGGAAGAAATCACAAGTGTATGCATGGAGGAATTTTCACTTCCAAAATGGATCCAACAGTATGCCCCTCGCCAAAAATAATGCCTCAACCTGTGCAAACCAGATCCTGGGATTATTAACACCATATGTTGGTAATCTTAGTTCAGAAATAGTGTTGATTGAGTTTAAAACATTATCTTCTGGCTGTGATGAATGAAAGGGGTTGGTTAATGGGCTATCAATATCGATAAGTTTATTAGGGGAGTCCATAATGTCAAAAACAAAAAATGGGGTCGTGCCAATTAATAATAATACTAAATTATGTAGCTATATATAGTAAATGTCTATAAAAAAATAATCGAGGCTCACCAAATAATTGTGGTGGACCAAAATGTTTAATAACCAAAAAATTAGCAACAAAAATATTATGTCTATAGTTTATGTAACAATTAACAGTTAATAAGTTAATTACACACAAATAACAAAATAAGGGACGTTACTTAAGTCTTCAGGCTATTGCGTGTTCGGCTGGGTTTGGTCCAAATAATCCACAATTATAAAAAAATTAGTAATCCCAATATGGACGATATAGATCCAGTAGGTTTACCAAGCGTAGAATTCAATAAGAATGTCGCAATTGTCTATAAACGTAGATGGTATGCAATTAATATTTCATTCAACATATTAGCAGACAGGGCAGAACAATGCAGACGTGAATTAGAGTGTATTTGTTGAGGAGCATTAACAGTGGCACGATATGTTGTACTCAAAACGGAAGGAAGAAGTGTTACAAGCGTTCAAAGTAATACAGTTAAACAACAAGTACAATTGTTTAATGCTTAATGTACAGAATATGAAAATACATGCGAAAACTATGAAAAATTATTTACAAAATAGGTTTTAAGGTTCTATCTCCACATGTGTTTGTTATCCGTTATGCTATTGAGGTCCACTTTGATGGTTTCATTTAAATCCAAAAATGGACTAAGGAGTGTCCTCTCTGTAAATTAACATTCAAAAATAGCATCAAGAGCACGACAAATGAAGTTTACTCATTCACCCATGACAAAGTTGATGTGTTTCTGCAGATATTGTCTTATTTCCACACCAGCTGGCTTTTCTGAAGTCGAGAGTCCAGTATACAGTATATCCTAAATCAATAGAGGATCAAATAAAGGAATAGTCCACTCGTAAATGGTCTCTTGGCCAGAAATATCAAATAGGAAAGCCTTAGAAAATAGGCTTACAACCTTCATACACAATCTAAATGTGATCAAATAAAATGTATTTAATCTGTTTAGTAGGAGGCGTCGATTCAACACATGGATTTGCAGCGATAAATAAACTTCCAAAATAAATAGTTCATTAGGCCTTCGACGGATGAACCTGAGATTTAAACTTGTTTCATACAGCCTCAATGAAAAATACTGTTTAACTATATAACGATTCATTGTTACAAATGCTTAATATTTATTGCACATGTACTCCTAAGATGAGTGCCTTGGATTTGCTTGATTTTATGTACGAAAGGTATGTAGTGGTAAATAAATCCCCAAAATCACTAGCTCTGTAAGTCTTCGACATTTGATGCCGACCGCATTAGTTTTAATGGACTCGCCTACCTGAAGGCGATCGGCCATGCATCCTCACCAGATCACCAGTGGGAACACTGTGTTCAACTTCCCCTACAGCCGCTAGCACGTTTAGATCAGTCGTTCTCGATATCTTGATAGTCTATCAAATATACCTTTGAACCTCTTCATTTCTGACTTTTGATTTCAATGGGTAGGTGCTATTCAACTATAGGTGTTACTGGTTAAGGTGTTGTCAAACTACAAATATTTGTGACATCTTCAGGTATAAGGTAACATAGCTACAGGACTTCATTTATTCTTTGCTTGGTAACCATTTTAGTCAAAAATTGTGTACATATTCATTGTCAAACACAGAACTACGCAGTGGGAGTTGGTTTCCCTACGTGTAAATCGTGATTACAAAAGACAGTAGAGAACTCACGTTTTAATCGTACTGACTTAGGAAGAAAAATATTGGAGACACACCCTCAAATCACAAAAAACTTTTCTTGATAAAGATATATTTTGTGTTAAGAAGCAGAGGACAGTAATAGTAATCAAATCCCGAAAATAAATAGTTCTATAACTTTCGACACTGAATTCGACCTCAGTCATTCTGCTGGATACACCCTAGCTGAAAACACACGAACCCCTATCAACACCAGATCACGATCGGTTAGCTGTACTACACATTCCTTATCTTCGGTTATAGGGAATTGACGGGCAACAACTTAGTCAAGCACTGAATATCCGTGATGAATTTCAATATAATGTATGTCTCAAGGACTGAAAATCAGTTCAAGGAGCTCTTATAGACACTCCATTATTCTGACAGTTACTTTTAAGCATAAATTCGTCCCGTAGTACTGAAAATTTTTATGGATTGGTGAATATAATCGAAGTCATCATGTTCGATTGGGCGAAATTACAATACTTTTTGAAGAGGCGCGTAGTTTGTTTGGTGCGCTGTTTTCTTCGGTGTCTAAGCGGCGTAGTGAGTATACTTATTAAAGTTTACCTCTAGTTTTCTTGTTTAAATGGACATTTCATTATCGGTCATCTCAATTTTTCTGACATTGTTTGATATCAGTACATCTAGGTGATAATCTCAAGTCAGTCACAGTTTCCTGACGAGCTTATGACCTTAAGGTCATCATTGAAATTTCACTGATGCATCAATTTCTTGGTACAAAATCAACACGACAATAAGACAATGATGCTATTGCACTGTAGCCCTCAAATCTAAATGTATGTAATCGCATTCATTTAGAACAGAAGATTTGGTGAAAAACTAGAATAAATGATGATAACTAAAGTGAGTTTATAGTTATTTTGTCTAACGGGATACATTTGGGCGAAATTCTCCATCATTGCCTCGTTTTGGGTGGAATTAATGGTTCTTGATTGCAGTGTCGTCTGAATATCTTTTCAACTAGTGTCTCCCATATTTCCCTTAAGTTCGCCTTCATTTCCCCACTCTTATTTATTTGAAAACCTAATACTTGATCCTCATGTAAGCGGCACACTATCGTTTTTTTAATGCAGCCTCAAAATTAATATCACAGACTGGAAGTCAACTAAATTTTGTGTATTTCAGGACTTAAGTTAATCTAATCATCCTAGATACTTGGAATTCCCTTAATCCAATGACTGCAGGTAATATACTTCTTGAAGGTTATTTGTATAAAACTTATTCCCACGATCACATTGTTGTTGATTCATTCTATGGAGCCAGTATATTGTAGTTATACTGTATAGATTTTTGTATTAGGCATTATGGCATACTTGACGTTTTGACTTAAAATTAAGTTATCATGATCCAGTTTACGACGTGATCGTTTAGAGCTAGGTAGTATGATTCAGTTACTCAGTGCGCAAGTACATGTTCGTGAATTAGAATTTCGGTAACGTTTTAATGAAGGGCTTCTTTATCACTCCAACGGAATTAGTTATTCTGACATTTAATCCAATGTTTGAAAATCTATTGCTTAAATAAGTGTTCCACGCTGTGGATAGATGAATGAAAGCTTCATTTAAGGCATACATTTCGTCCAAACGTTTCCTTTAGTGAAGTGATCTCAACATTCTAAACACATTTGCATTAATAACTTAGTGACCCTGTTGATCTGACTTTGTTTTATATGAACGAATGTGCTGTGAACATATATCTTGTTTAATTCCATTTATTATATCTAGGCTAACCCTGTTTGTGTGGCGGCGGTAATATGAAGCCAAGTATGGATTGATTTGGATTGGTTTACTTCATGCAGTCGTTTACACAGACATTATAATGAGAAGCAGAAAAACCAAAGTGGGGTGAAGAAGTCTAGCGCGCTAACTCATCGGGATAAAGCGTAACTGTTTATTGTCGAACAAAAATGAGCTAAAGACATGCGATGAATGGGAGTAAGGGAGACAAACTCGTAATTAAAAACAGTCCAGTTTATAGGCAGATAATTGACAAATTCAAGATGTAACTCGGGAAGAATAAATTAACTGGTTTATCCGAAAAATAAAACAACCCATTTGAGCGTAAAATAAAATTAAAAACTACAGTCCACAAGATGTGTTCATTATAAATCAAGATTATCTTTAGTCTCATCTACTTAATTGAGCTCATATGCTCTGTTATACTGCCTATTAATATAAGTTATTTATTCAACAAAATGTTTTTTTAACTAAAATTTTGTTTCCATTTAGGTCTAACTGTTTAAATATGGATACGTCAATGGAAGATTTGTTTTCCGATTTTGATAAATCTACTGTTTTAGTTGAGGCAGGTAAGTAAATTACAGCGGGCATGCCAGCGAGTCATCGATAGCTTCAAACTGTTCTGTTTTTTACAAGATCTTTTTTCCTCGTTTCAATGACATCAATTGATGAAGTAAAATGTGGACACTGGTTCTAGGACAATTTTCATACTACAAAAGTGTGTACCTAGCCGCATACATGCGTGGCTTTTTTGGCCAATAGTAATGATGTGAATTTTTAACTTATTACATATTTTTTATGATCAAATATAATATCAAACTATCCAAATATACTTATAGGTCAGTCAGTCAGCTACAACGTAGGACCAGACACATATATGCATCGGTCTAAGTTGCCACACCTCATTAACACAACAAGATGAACACCAAATTCATAGTAGTTACTTCAATAGTGGTAATATATAAAAGAAAGATCGCACATAATATAATGCAGGAGGAAAGAATTAGTTCATAGAAAGAAAGGTATAAAGCATATTATCGGCGTCTTCATCAAAAAGAACTATGTCATCTGCGTATTCTAAGTCGATAAGTGGAATTTCTGGAAGGAGATGGGTTCCCAAAAATACAGACGACGAGAGCATTATTTTCAGCAGTGGGTCTATGATGAAATTAAACAGAAATGGAGATAGTGGACAGCCTTGCAGGACACCACTTGAGCTTGTAAAGTTAGATGGCAGTTCTCTATAAGCTCCCGCTCGACTGGTAGTGTTCGAATAAAGAGCATTCACAAGGTCTACATACTTCTGAGGTACACCTTTCAATGACAGACACTGCCACAGAGCCTCTCAGTCTGCAGTCGATTGCTGCTTTTAAGTCAATAAAAACTATCATTGTCGGACGCCGATAAGCATGTCCGTGTTGTAAACCTGACGAATAGCGAATATGTGGTCGATGCAGCCACGACCAGGTCTGAAGCCAGGCTGATTTTCTCGTGTTTGCAGTTCATGAGTCTTTGTTAGGCGCCCGATAATTATTGAGGCTAGTATTTTAGATGCTATATTAGTCAAACTAGTCCCTCTATGGTTATCACAGGATGATTTTGACCCCTTCTTATATATTGGGACAGTGATTGTGCCCAGTTGGATGGGATTACGTCCAACTCCCAGATTTTAGTTAAAATATTATTCAAACTAATCGCTAAAATTGGACCACCACCCTTAAAGACCTCTGGAGCAATCCATCTGGACCAGCCGCTCTTCCTCGTTTCAGATTAGTTATAGCCTTTTGAACTTCAACTAGAGTTGAGGTACCTACTTCAATGTTCCATTCAGACTATGGGAATGGTGGGTAACTGTAGAGTAACTGAAGACCAGCTAAACTGTTCTCTACAGTGTTCCACCCATCGTTCCAAACGTCTGGACTGAGAGCAGATAAGAGTTTCGTCTTTTCCCTAGATTGTCTCACACTTGACTTCTTAATTTCGGTTTTTTTATTAGTCTGAAGGGTTGTCTGGTGTTACCTACATTCGCTGTCTTTTTCATTTCCTTTGCTTTCGCTGCCCACCACTACTCACGATCGTTTCATAGATCTGATGTGCATATAAATAAACATACGGTACCAAACTTGAACTGTAAACCCATTTAATGAAGATTAACTGTTCAAGTCTTAATTCAGCTTTATTAACAGGTTTAAATCATTTAAATGTTCTTATAACATGCGAAGATATTTTGGAACTCTACAAAATGGTCTTTTTTGCTATTTGTACACAGTAATCAATACGAATCGTCACATGCCTGATTGTTCAGTTATAATAGCCACCTCTTGTAAAACACTTTCTAATTGTAATACGAGATTGTCGTTTTTTTCAGTTACTATTATTTCTTAGTCTAAATAACTCTAATTTTATTAACTACCCATGTACAAGACAAAAAGTACGTTAGTTGTTGGATGTACAGTTAGAACTGTATATTTTCATACAAAACCCATGGTACTACCAACAAATATATATATATATATATATATATATATATATATATATTTGCTGAGGCCACAAATAAACCTGTAAATACCATTATTTTCTTGTCCGTGGACTAACCCTGAAGGTAATACTTCTCTCATTTCTCCTGTTTGAGGTGTTATATCCTACGGACCTGGTAATATATCACGTGACTTTATTGCCAATTAGAACACCGGCTTATATGATTTTTGTACTGTGCCAGACCAATGACGCATAAACCAATACAAACAGCCTAGAGTCTACTCTGGGTTCTTATTTGTCCTCTGATATAGCAGCCCCTCTCTCTCGCCTTACCCAGTCGATTCAGTCCAGAACACCAATATCAGCCTCCGCTATATGAATCATGTACTTCAAACGTACACAGTTTATATACGAGCAAATCAGACCACATCATACCATAAAATATAAAATAACAGTTATACAAGATTAGTACAAAAGTGGCTGTGAGTGCTAGGTACTGTAACCAATAAATCGGGAATAAATAGTATAATAGTAATCAATAGGTTAAATATAAGCTTATAATAAAAGAATATATATATATATATATATAACAGTCCTTAAATCGATCCTAGCAGTTACCATTCACTTAATCTTCGTTCGGGTGTAACATGAAGCTCAAGTGTAAAAAAATTCCAAGTGACTGAAGCGATTCGGAAGTCAATGTCAAGTTTTCGTGTACCATACGTATCATTTTAATTATTGTTCCTGATTCGCTCTCAACTTGTAAGGTATAAATAAAACTGTCACCCTATTATTATTATCATTATTATTATTATCATTGTTATTATTATTATTATCATTGTTATTATTATTATCATTATTATTGTTATCATTATTATTATTACTATCATTATTATTATTATTATTAATATTATTATTATTATTATTACATACTCATTGCCTTCGCTCGATCATGTTAGACATGCACATCACACTATTTTCTTATCGATCAGTCACAATCAGTACAGGACTTGGTAAAAGTGCGGATCGATCCAAGCTGTAACATCGCATTAACATAGCAAGACAAAATTAATAAGATGAGAACATCAAATGAATTGAAATGAACATAAAAGGGATACCTTAGCAGTGCTCATCCACGATCTCGCCCCGTGAGATTCGAACTCAGGACCTATCAGTCGTCCAGTGCTTTCAGGTTTTCCATGGTGGTCTAGCTTTAATTGACTCATGAATTGAACTATAAAGTTACTAAGATCTCCACAAACTCCCCTCTCATAAAAGGGATATTTTAAAAATAAGGGAATATAGAGTATGAGAGGTAATGGATGAAAATACACTGTCATCGCTGCAATCTATTTTCGGAATGTCACCTATGTATATCTTCAACCATCAGGCAAAATCTTCTCGTAGACCCCTACCAGGTAATCTTCGTTCACCAATGCGGATGAGACTTCCAGGATGTGGACAGTCCACTTGACCGTATTACTCCCTATAGCCATTTCTTTAGTTACACAATATCTTTTATTATGAAGTGACTGTTAACTAGTTGAACCATTCACCAGGTAGTTGAGTGTGAACTACACTTTAAGTGCAGAGGCTAATGTTACCACTCGATTTCTCGAACCGAATCATGTGAGGTGGTGTTCGAGGCTGGGATTTCTCAGTCAAAAACCGAATCCCTTTACCATTAACCCACTGCTATACATTTTTAATGATTAGTTTACGGTCATTTGTATTTGTTTTTCAGTGAGTTACTGCATCAAGAGTTCTTTTAGCGTTATAAATAAGTAAACAAGTCAGCGAATAATCCTCCTAGCCTTGCCGTTTTTCATGAATTTTTATGGAATGATACAATAATATTCTTAGTATTAATTTTTAGCAGATACAAAGAAAAATAGTATAGAAAATCATAACTTAATGGTACTTACTACTGAGACAATAGGCAATGAAACTATACGTATCGAAGGTGTTTACCAAGCTTCTACCCAAAGTCTGTGCTTAGTCGTTGAATTACATGAAAACTCTTCGTAAGTCTTTTTTTATTATATTTTTATATTATTTCTATATTATATTTATTATATTTTATTATATATATATATATATATATATATATATATATATATATATATATATATACAATCACTACTTAAATCTCTTCATTTAATGATAAATTTTATATTCCTAATTGTTTTATTATTTAAGTTATTCATCAAGTTACTTTTATTTCATCAAACCGACATACCAATTAAGTCTTACCAAATGAAACCAAATTATTAAATAAGGTTAGAGGTTGAATAAGCTATTAATTGACAAAAAAGGGACCAACAGTTTAAGGTATTTATGTGTGGTCACTAAGTCAAAGTTAAATCCAGTTTGGTTAACCTTAATTTACATAGCTATACTTCATTTCTATTCCATCCAGGTAGTAGGTCCCTATAAAAAAACTATGCTAATTTATATGTAGTTGTGACTGAAATGGTGTTCGTGTTCTAGATTTTCACTGAATTTTAAGCTAAGCATCATGACATTAATGACCACACTGTTAAGCGTTTTATTGTTTCAAACAGCCAACGGAAGTTCTTGAGTTTAATTCTTGTTGGTGATAACCATTTTTTAGATATTCAACTGTTTAAATTTCATCACGAACTGAACTTGTGATGAGCGTTTAACCTTTAAACTACAGAGTCCACATCTAGTGATTCACAACTTTAGCTTTAATCAACTAACGACCTTGCAAAACCATCTTCCAATATCGTCAATTGATAACTACCTCACACCTGACATAATTAAACTTCATGGGTGACAGCTTCTCACCAGAACTCCAAGAATAATCAACCCTCGGAGTTAATCACTAATGAGCACAGTACTATTATTAATATTATCATGACGGGTTTGTGGAGACTGTTGTTTTATTTTTTAAATCACAAAGTGTGTTATGTGATAACTATTTCAAATGTTTTGTCATAGTAGTCTAGTAGCATCTAACAGCAACTAACCGTCAGTGGGTGTCATGATTAACTGTCCAGTATTCCTTGACCATTATACTTCACTAGACTCCTCTCAGATCAGAAGAAGAATTAACAACGAACAAATATATATTCCGTTAACATGAACAACAAATATTCAGTTGTAAAAACATTGAAATTTACACAAGAATCTTCTAACATCTCGATTCGTCCACTGGCTCTGATCGACTGAAAGTGGGCCGATCAGCGCGTTTCGACCTTAGCTTGATCACAGTAGGATAAAGCTCTAACGTTTTCATGCTAACTGTGGAATATACATGTTTATATGGTTTGTATTGATACTTTCTGTTGAGATTGGGAATTAAAACTAAAGCTCAATAACCCATCTCTTGTATATACTACTTGCTTCTATAATTTAGAATCCTTTTGTTTTATTGATTTACTAAACAAAATTGACATTATTCATGAAAAAATCTGTTAATAATACTTTATCTTATGTAAAATTTAATTTCAGGTTGTCTAGTTGCATTAATTTGGAAATTCCATACCAGTATCCCTCATCGAGCACAAATTTATCAGAAACGGAGAATATACCAATTCATATTTGTACTCTTTGCGATAAAAATCACTTTATGAACATAATCACTTACCCACAACATCAAACTTCAACGGTATTTGCTGATTTATCCTCCACATCGTCATCATTCTCATCAATGTTCGCCTGTTCTAAACGCCTTATTGACATTCTTTGTGACATTGAAAATAAAGATATTAGGGACAATCCTGATCTGGTTCGATTATGTAGTCTTCCAAATGGACTAGTCTATGCTATTTGGTATACAACTATGGATAAAAAACTTCATTGTTCAGTTGCGTTTCCATTGTCATGTTGTAAGTCAATCGTGACTTGGGCTTTTATTCGTAATCCCGCAGCTAATTCTACAGTGTCTCGTATAATTGACAATACATTGGCAGATAATCATTGTACTCAAATTGAAAACAATACTGTGAATGATCTACTTATTGGTTTAACGAAAGATGGTGAAGGTATAGGTGTATGGTTCGATTCATCAGAAGATGTTTATAACAAAAAGTTCGTTCTTATTTGTTTATTTCCTGATTCGATACACAATTTTGGCTGGTGTTAAAAGTAGATTGTAAAAATGCTGGTAGAAGCTGAACCAAAACGTAACATTAATCTATGAAATCATTGAATATCTATCTAAACCACGTTAGTAGATCCAGACTATCTGGTTGGGGTCCGCGTGTCTATCATGACCTGTGGTTGATGTTGAGCCATAGGGCTCAAAATCTACTACAATGTCACAGTAGCACTCACTGTGTTGACCCTTAGATCCTGATTTTCAAAATGAGTTTGTGCTTTTTATTTCGAAAAGTCATTCTCATTGTCATAAATTTTCCATCAATATTACGTATAAATAAACAGATCATAATCAGTATTCTGAATTCGATTGTCACAATTTATTTACGTTATAAATTCAATAAAATGTGAATTTTCGAATAACGTTTACTACTGGGGGGGTTTGAACTTGTCATTTAGTAGAGTGTCTTTCCTGAAAAGATTCATATTATTTTTAAAGGTAAATTTCGCGGGTAAACCGACCTTCAAAGATTGACTAGACAGTTCTTGACATTTGTGTTCGTTATAGTTTGGAACTGTTAAACAGTGTACATTCAAGGTCATACACATAAGATGATTAATCCCATGAACTTCAAGTTCTTATAAATCTAAGTAACATAAATAAAATCAATCATTCGGTAAAGTTGTTGATCTTCATTAACTGTAGCGATTCGTAACTGTTTGATTCAATGAGGTACACTCAGTCGTGTCAATCGAGGAAAATCTAAATACTGTTAGAACAAAGTAAGCTTAGTATTTCCGTAATGGGTTTATAACTAGCTTATTTCTCGTGCAAGGCTGTGAACTATAGACTCGATAATACAACTGAAACCTCTGGTTTAGAAATATGGGTGAACACTGATCACAGTTTGATATAGAATATGTGGAATTCGACTAGTAGTGGAGTCCAACAGGCGCGTTTCGTTTTATTTGGGACTTGCTAGCTGCATGTACCTTATTTACCTATTTGAATACACGGGGAGACCAACATATATATGTGCCACACAAAGTAATTATCATTCAGTTTTTGTGTGGACTGGAATACTGTTCAGGTGCCCGAACCGTAACAGATGATTTCCTGACGAGACCATTCCCTGAGCATTTCACTTACATGTCTAATCCACAAGGTAGTGGTGCAACGTTGGGAGATGCAATCCCATACTAGCCGGTCACCAATAGTATGTCCATTTGTTCCCTCAGGGATCCTGGAGCTCATGTGCACCATTGTTTTGAAATCAGCGTTTTTCAACTCACCCAGGTGGACCCTCCGTATCCATAAACCTGGTTTCAGCGCCGGACTTTCGGTGTTTATCCTCCCAATTTCGTAGACAACACCCCGTCACGAGAAGGTAGTGAGTAAGACATCTCTGAAAATGGCCGTATACGTATAACCATGTGAGCATTTCTAGAGGGAATGCGGACCCCCACCCACCCTCAGCCGTAACCAGAGTTGACGTTAACCTGGAGACTCGAACCTAGTGCGGTTCGCTTCAAACGCCATTACGTTATCCACTTTGTTACTGAGTCCAGGTAGCTACACACTTGTGCAACGAGATACAGTTATATTCAGCCGACGAGTTCCAAGTAGGACGAAACGCGCCTCCTGGATCCCGCTGCTATACACACGATCTATTCTATATCAACCTGTGTCATAATGGTTATTTCGGGGAAGTTCGCACAGGATGCACATAAGCCAACTAAAAATGATCAAATTTTAATCAAAATATATTGATAACGGGATAAGCCAGATCATTTCAGATTGAATTGATCACAATGTCTCCCATACTTCTACTCTCTGTAAATTGTGGAACGTCTTTATATCATCCATTACAATGTTGCTTGGTTTCACGTGATCCCCCACATTCCTCCAACCAATTTTCCTCATGTTCTTGTTTTATAATTCACAACACGGATTAATCATCGTTAAACGACCACTAAATATGTGTTTCATCCTCATATGGAATGACCCAGTAGTGTAAATTTATCACCCCACCGGGGATCAAGCCTTCAGCCTTCATTTTTCGTGGTGAGCGCGTAATCTTTAGACCACGGAGTCGGTCTCCAGTAGCTTACATCTCTGGCTTTAATCAGTTTGAGATATTGTGTATATATCACCCACTGCTATTTATGAGCGACTGTCACATGCGGCATATTTGCCCCCCACTAGTGACAGCTCTTCACTAAAACTCCAGGAATTAACCCTAGAAATTAGCCATTGGTCAGCATATGATTGTTATTGGTATTCATATCCTATGAACATAGTTTTTTACACTTTACCATTATTCATATTTCCCAAAATGTTTATTTTTTGACAAATTTAATTTAATTGCAATACAGAGTCCTAAACATCACTGAATTCAGTTTACCCCAATCACCTGATCCAATTACAAAATGTCGTGCACAAGGTTCATGGCTCCATGTGATCACTCAAAGTGGACATTTAATGTCAGTACATTTCAGTTTACAATTAAAACAATGTAATGACAATAATAATGGTAAATCAACAAGATGGAATTTGTTATGTCAATCAACTAATTTTCCTCGATTACCTATTCATTTATCACCTGTGAATAATATTGAGCAATGGATAAAATCGTACCCAAGATGGCGTAATCTTAATGTTTGCGACTTTACTCGTCTGGCTGGTTGGTCAATAAATTTTTATTTGGTTTTTGATTTTTTGTTTCATGCCATTTAAAATGTACTTTCTAGATTTCTTCGGTATTCTTTGTTCTCTGTGTGTGTTTGTGTGTGTGAGCACATATAAGTCATCCAAATTAAAAAAAACCTATTTTTTTCATAATTCAGTCAATCATATGCAAAGTACAACCTTTCACATATGTGCATCAGTTCAAGTTGCCACACAAAATTATCTCAGCATGATGAATTAATCAAGCAAAATCTCATAGTAGTAGAAGTAGTAGCAGTATCAGTAGTAGTAAGACGATTAGCTATAAAAGAGGGAAAATGTTGAGACCCAGGATCTAACATAGTAAAAAGTGAATTTATCCACACCATCGCAAATGATTCTAATCCATGTCACTCAATGCCCCCAGAAAGTGGTTGTAATTATCGTGAGGATCACAACCAGGTAGTCCTCATCTATATACATAATCCAGTTCAATTTTCAATGACTTCATGGACTGATGCTACACTTTGTTTTGGTCGCCCCTAACTTTATTTCAACCTATTCCTACACCAGATAACACCTCTCATCAAGATAGATGGTGTTTGGCATGCGCTATACATGTTATAACCACCTCAGTGGATGAATATTCACTGCCCTATGAATCGGTTTGCCATCCTTACTTAGTTCATTATGTCTAACGTTGGCCTTGCTCACTCGGTGGTCCCAACATACATATCAGTCAGTCAGTCAGTCACAACGTAGAACTTCGTACGTACGTACGTACATCAGTTCGAGTTGCCATACCACATTAGCACAGAGATGCAGTTGTCCATTCAAATCCTATAGTGGTAGAAGTAGTAGGAGTATAATCAGAAATCCAAAAGATTAGGGTTTGAAGAAATTATTGAAGGAGTATAGTACAGTGAAATAAATTTGGAAAGAGAAAAAGATAAATACATGAGGAATTCAGAAGATTAGAATTTGGTAGAACACAAAGAGTGGATGCACCTTCGCCATTGCAAACGATTTTGAGCCATGTCATTCAAGGTCTCTAACCATCGGTTGCTGTCATCTCGCGAATCCCAACCAGGTAGTCTACACCTACCAACATGGCCCAGTCCACTTGTCAGTGACTTCATTGATTTGTGCCACGTTTTGGTCTGGCCACCCCTAGCTTTCCTCCAACCTACTCCTACACCATGAAACATTGCACGTCGGGGCAGTCGGTGGTCGGGCATACGTAACACATGTCCCAGCCATCTCAACTGATGAAGTTTCATTACTTCATCAATCGATTTGCCATCCCTACCTAGCACTCGTTTCCTAACAACTGCATTACTTACCCGGTGGTCCCAGGATATACGAGCAATGCTTCGAAGACACCTGTGATCGAACACTAGTAGTCTACGAATATCCTCTACTCTTATTGGCCATGTTTCACTGCCATAAAGTAGGACGGAGCGAACTGCTGCACAGTAAACCCGTCCTTTGGTTGCTAGACGGATATCTCGCCTACTCCATAAATGACGCAAGTTGGCGAAAGCTAGACGAGCCTTCTGTATCCGTGCTGAGATTTCGTCACATACCAGACCACAAGGGCCGATGAGACTCCCAAGATAAGTGAAGTGGTCTACACGCTCAACTACTTCACTCCCTATCATTAGTTCAGGTGTCGATGCAACCCAATCCTGAAGTAACATTTTGCACTTCGAGGGAGAGAATCGCATTCCGAACATGCCTGCATAGTTGCTTATAGTAGTCAGAAGACTCTGCATGTTGTCAGCGTCTTCACCGAGTAAAACTATGTCGTCGGCGTATTCTAAGTCAACAAGTGAGCCTCCTGGTAAAAGTTCAACTCCTGGAGGTTTAGCTGATGAAAGTGCTATCTCTAAAAGTATGTCAATGACAAAGTTAAACAAGAATGGGGAGAGTGGACAACCCTGACGAACGCCACTTGTGGTAATCAGTTCTGATGACAGTTCGCCATAGGCTCTAACTCGACCAGTTGTGTTCGAGTAGAGAGCCTTTATGAGGTTAATGTACTTCTTTGGTACTCCTTTCAGTGACATACATTGCCATAGAACCTCACGATCAACGGAGTCTGCTCTTCACGAGCTTTGGTTAGGCGACCTAGTATTATTGAAGCTAATATTTTAGACACTATATTAGTCAAACTGATCCCTCTGTGATTGTCACAAGAGGACTTTTGTCCTTTCTTATAGACTGGCACAATCAGTGATTGGGACCAGTCAGATGGAATTACGTCCAGTTCCCAGATTCTACCTAAGACCTCAGTCAATCTCACTGCTAGTACTGGACCACCATCCTTAAAAATCTCAGGGGTCAACCTGTCAGGGCCTGCTGCTCTCCCTCGCTTCAGATTTCCTATAGCTTTTTCAACCTCACAGAGGGTTGGAGGACTTACATCAATTTGCCATTCAGGACGACTGGGGATCGTGGGTAATTGAAGTGTGGCTGAAGGCCAGTTGAACTGATCCCTAAAGTGTTCTGCCCATCGATCCAATCTCCTGGATTGAGAATGAATAATATGCCCATCTTTATCTGAGATGGTTTCACTGATATTCGGGTTCCTAATACCGGTTTCTTTAACGAGTCTGAATAGCTGCCTACTGTTACCTATTGCCGCTGCCTTTTCCATCTCTCTTGCTTTCGCTACCCACCACTGTTCACGATCATTACGTAGGCTTCTTATAAGCCTTCGCTTAAGTTGACTCCGCTCTTCGTTATGCTCAGAGCCAGGTGGGATGAGTTTACGAGCATCTATCAGTGCGGTAGATGCTGCCGAGATCCATTGTTTCTCCCTAACGTTATGGTTTACCTTACTAGCGGATATCACTGCTGTTTCCACAGCTTTTCGGATGTCATTCCACGCTGCCTCGGGGTGGACACAACTTACATGGCTGCCTAACTGTTTTCCTAGTTGTTCCTGAAATATATTCTTAGCTTGCCTATCATTAAGTAGAACCCTTAGAGGCTTCCCTGCAGTGTCTTTCCTACGACCAGTAAGACGCAGACAGATACGTGCTCGCACTAGAGCATGATCTGAATCTAAACATGTGCCCCAGAATGATCGACAGTCTTCTATCGAGCCCCTCCATCGGTGGCTGATAGCGATGTGATCTAATTGGGTCCAACGTTGGGACGAATTCGGGGGTCGCCATGTCAAAAGATGTTTTTCCTTATGCTTAAAGTTAGTATTTGCAAGAAATAGGCGGTTATCTGAGCATAGCTGCAACAGACGGTCGCCATTATCTGTTCTTTTCGCCATGACACCATAAGATCCACCCAGGTGTCTTTCCCTTTCACTTAGTTTACCTACTTAAGCATTAAAGTCACCTGCTACTATTACTACATCAGAACGCCTAGCTTCTCGGAGAAGGTCAGAAAGTTTCCTGTAGAACTCATCTTTTATATCGTCTGAGCTGCAGTCAGTGGGAGAGTAGGCAGAGACGACGAAGAGGCAACGACGAGTTTCCCTATCTTTCCGGGTCCTTACTGATCCGTTTAGTCGGACAGCGCATAGACGACTGTCTACTGGGATCCAGTCTAAAAGAGCTAGTTCTGCCCTAGGACTTAATGCTATACCTACTCCAGCGAGGCCACGGGAAGCAGCATCAGGGCTTTCAGATACACGAAGCGTGTATCGAGATGAAACTTTATTTTGATTAGGTGAGGTCAAATGAATGACACTACTCGGATCTTGTATGCGCGTTTCGGAGACGCAGCACACATCGATGGTGTAAGATTCTAGAGTCCTAGCTAAGGAAGCCTGTTGTCCTATTTGGCACAATGTTCGGACATTAAAAGTTCCTATATGTAGTTTAGAGCGTCATCTATGATTAAATACTAACAACCGACGTATATCCTTAGTTCTAATCGGCCATGCTTTACACTCATAAAACAGAAGAGAGCAAACTGCCTTACACTATACTCGTTTTTAGTTGGTAGACGAACGTCTCTCCCATACTACAAGTAGCGTGAGTTGGTAAGAGCCACTACATTTCACAAGGTAATATTTTCTAGTGTAGGCTCTTTTTCGACGTTTCTCTATGGCTCCAAGATTTTCAAACTTTATACTTTTTGTTATATATGCTCAGATTATTCGTTTTTGATCGTAGATTGATTCAAAGCATCACCCACATATGATTGAACTATGAAGTGAGTGGTACTGAGGGCAGGTGTAGGGTACTAAGTAAAGACAGTGAATCTGTATGACCTTCACAGAGTGTGATGTCTGGGCATGTCTAGTATATTCACTAACCATCATCTACACCATTACGGAATGCTAACTGGTTTTGGAGTAGATTGGAAGAAAACTATGGGCAACCAAGGTATCATCTCACTCCATACATTCAATGACTGAAGGTCTAGAAAACCTAGACTGTAATAGGAAGGTTAAATATGGAGATCGACGCCGTATTGCATAACTTCAAATCGCTACTGGTTGTAGTTGCTACGTGAATATTTTCGTCGAATCTGCCTGTCATGACAATCAAACCAGTTTGTTTTGTAGATGGCATTCGTCACTGATGATGTCAGTTTGAGCACCACTAAGAACCGAGGAGCACTAAACGACTACTCCATCCTAGAATGCGACTCTTCAGCAGTGCATATTACGACATACCCAAGGATTGAATCCACAACCTTCAAGTCTCATGCCCAGCCTGAATTGAAGGACCCAACTATATGAATTTCCAGCTCCAATCAGTTCATGACATAAAGTGATTAATATCTTTCCATGGTCTTTCGCAACGACTGTTCCGCTCCAGATCAGTCCTTCAGAAATCCATCTAAAATGGAAAGTGAGTAGATTAGGAAAATATAAATATCATTTGTCAAATTGTGCGAGACCTCATATTTTTCCAGGAACTAAATGTTTAAAGTCCTGAATCCCAGTTTCAAAATCGACTCTACGTACTCCATTCCAGAGATCTGGACATTAACATCTAACCCTCTTGTAAAACAGTCGGTCAAACATGGTCCACACGATGTCAAATCACTTAGACTAGTGAACATAATACAACTTTATGGATAGAGTTATGAGCCTGAGTAGATCAGTTATAATCCCTCAGATCATGAAGCTGGATAGTGCGGATCCAACCCCACAGGGTGTATCAGTTCCCTTGGGATTGTATGTACACTTTGCTGAAGAATGATAACTAGTGTGAAACATATATCTAAGGGTTTCCCACTTACTGCTACCTTCAACCAAATAACAAAACAATCACTTTCAAAGTCTACTTTTACAAAACATTAAAGTTGATTGCCAAATTGCATTAAAATGTTTTTCATTGGTATGTCGTATTTGTATTAATGTTATTATTATTGTGTTCTCACTGTTTTAATTTTTCTCTTTTTTTGTGTTTTCGTCTCTCATTAAACTAGACGGTCATTTGGGTAGTGTTGATTCACGAGGTTGTAAAACACGTCTAGTTGATCTATTATCATCTAAATCCGAAATAGATACTCCTGTTAATTATACAGAACAACAATTGAATCAAACATTCATGGAATTAATCAAGACAAAATATCAAATGAAAAGTTATTTAGCATGTCTACTTCTACTAAACCGTTTGAGTAATTTGAAAGTGAATATAGACAAAAATGATTGGTCTCAGTTCCCTTTAGATTGTAAAATCTATTTGACATCATGTCGTGCAGATCATGAACCAGGAAGCCAATCACCTTTGGAATTGATTGTTGATATCACAGTCCAGGTAAATTGATCTTTGTTAAATATAAATTTGAAATAGGTATTTATGTATTGAAAATAGATATTTCATGCCTTTCAGCTTACGATAATATAGTTTTCTGTATTCTATGAGATTGAATTAAAAGTCAGTATTAGTTGAATAGCTGTTAGTTAATATAACTATGATATGTTTGATATATTTGATTCATCTTGTTACTGACCTCAGCTTTTCTGTGGAAATGAGGCCTTACACCTACATTGTATTTTTCGATTATCTAGTTATCCCCAATATGGAGTTGTGAAGATTGTTGAATTTTTGATTAAAATCATGAATCGATCAAGATTAGACTACCATTGAAAACCTGGGAGCACTGGACGGCCGTTTCGTCCTAGTATTGGACTCCTCGACAGTGTGCATGCGCAGTCCCTCACAAGGGATTCGAACCCATACTGATAATTATCTTGTGCTCACTGGTGACTAGCTTGGAGAGGTAATTCTCCAAGTTCTAGTGAGAAGCCGTAACCAGTGGAGCTAATCCGTGTCAGGTAGTGATAAGTATCTATCTCGAACAATAGAAGATGGTCGAGCGATTTCGTGAATTGGTTGGAGTTAGACATTAATACCGTTGGGTGCCGGCTCAATGGTCTAGAGGTTAAGCGTTCTTACATGAGGCCGAAAGTCCTGGGCTCGGATTTCTCAAGCGGGATCGTGGATGTGCACCACCAAGGTGTCTCACACTAGGACGAAACGGCCATCCTGTGCTTCCAGGTTTTGAATGGTAGTCTAACCTTGACCGATTCATGATCTCCATCAAAATATCTAGTTATCCCTTGGACAGTTATACTTAACTCGACTCTTCCCGAATAAAGACAAGAATTTATGGAAGTGATCTAATGTATTACAATAAGCTGAAACAACAAAATATACCATAGTTGTTAGAGTGCCCGAAAAGATCCTTTTTCGAGGTTTCCAGAAGCTTAGGAAACGCCAGGAAATGTTTTATCGAGATAAGATTAGATAGAAGCACGTCAAAAACATCCAAGGAATGAGGGATCACTTTCCACTTTTTGATTAGATAATTACTTATATCGGTAACATATTTCGTATATTATAGAAGTCTAGACTCACATAACTATAATTACACTCAATTTTCTGTACATGAACTAACTTTAAAGTTATCTTACTTTTCCCCCTTTTCTTTGTTTTTCGGGTTGACGTATAAGAAGTATTTGAGAGTTATAAGAAGCAGCTTAGGTGACAATATTAATCTTTTCAGTAGCAGATTTATCTGTAGCAAAAACCTCCGAGTGTAGATGTTGACTTTACGTATCAATCTTCTAGCATCTTATTGATTTACTCATCGACCGTGATTAGTTGAATATGAGTCACTCATGCTGTTCCAATCAGTGTATGCAATAATCACTGACAAATAAACTACTTTTTACCTTATTGCTATAAAATTAAAAATAGCCCCCAAATGCCCTGGTACTGTCGAGAGTGGGGAGAGTCCACTCTCCCTTTCGAAATGTTCTCACATGGTCATGCATATATAGCCTCTGCCATGAAAGTCCTACTCACTACCTTCTCGCACCACGGGCATTGTTTACGAAATTGAGAAGACGAAAAGCGAATGTCCGGCGCTTTAACCGGGCTGGTGGACACGGCGAGTTCACCTAGGGGATTTGGAAAACCCTGATTCCAAGCCAATGGTGCATATGGGCTCTAGTATCCCGAGGGAACAAATGGCGTATCAATCAATCATTGGTCATCGGCTTACATGGGACTGCACTTCCTTTCGATGCTCCACTGTCTTGTGGATCAGACCTTCAGGTCAAAGGCTCCGGGTTTGGCTTTCTAAGAAAACCACATGCTTCAGTTTGGGTACCCTGGGCAGTATCACAGACCCCCTTGTACCAATATTGATGAGTTTAAATAAAATAAAATAAAAAATATCTAACAGGAGAGCAGAATTATGATACTTTAAAAGAAATCATTTAAGTCACACTCTACATTTTGAATTGTGTAGTGTAGTTGAAAAAAAGCAACGAAATATAATGTAGGGACTCACCATATTCTGCATATACCCTGTCATTCTCACCTTTTTTAGATTTACGAAAAGAAGTGATTGTATGGAATCATTATTATTGTTATCATTATTATTATTATTATTCACCTTCTTTGTATGAATACTTTTTCTTCTTATGGATTCTCATTCAAAGAATACAACAACTGATGACAATCTAGAAGAAAATATTAATGAATTATTATTTCATTCTGATTTAAACAACTTTAGTCTAAATAATCTGGCACAAATTATATTATTCAAATCATACATTAATAATAATACAAAGAATTATATCATATCAGATTATCTTGAGAAATATTTGTACATTGTTATCAAAATAGAAGCTGTTAGAACTGACTATGAATCGTCATCGTTGCCATTATCATCACCATCATCATCGAATATGAAGGATTTAATCACAGATGTCGATAACAACGTGGTCAACAATCATCATTCACTTGTTTACACATATAGAGAATTGTGGTTTTCATCACCGATAATTAACAATAGTGATAATTCCAAGTTAGTGAATTATTTTGTAAAATGTATTGTCAATATTAGTATAGTGAAAGCTTGTGAAGAACGTTAAATTTATATATTATTTACATCTTTAAGTAATTATAGTATAACTAAAAAACACATCGAAAAGCAAAAAGGATTGGAAAACAGTGCACATCAATGACCTCCCCAGAGGTCAAGACCTTCAGACCTTGTGGAGAGCGTTTAACTTGATGATCATTTAGTTGGAACACTTCTGGGGAGTTCTGTGGTAGGAAGAAATACTACTATCCAGTTCTTTGTAGTTTTTCATGTGGTGAGGTTTTTGTTCATGCACGACCTTTGAGCAATGCCAAACTGACCTTGAGAAAATTTATCTATCTACTAGGGTCTAAATAAGGTCTGAAAAACTAGAATCGAAATTTACAGTTGAAAGTCAGGATTAGGAATTAGAGTTAAGATTTTTATCATTAGTTGACATCGACTATAATGCCAAAATGTTATTCAGCCATATAGAGAAATAAATTTTGTGCCAATGCACAAGACTTGTTATCTTAAATCTGGCTGGTTCGTTCATAAGTTACAGTGTTACCTTCCATGTTTATGTAGCTAAAATTCAATCCGTGGTGTAAACCACATTCTAGAAATATGTATACAGTATCACGTTTATCTCATATTGTTAACTTCTTATTACATTACACTGGTATAAAGTGTGATAGCTCTACTCTCAATATTACTTCTGTGTTATAACGCTCGATTTTTCCGTCTTCACGAATGGGATGCTGATTTGCCTTAGACTAATATCTACACTAGGTACCCTCCCAGTATCTATTCTACGAGACTTCAACACAACTCAGATCAAGAACATGTGACTAGCCGGACTAGAACGTAAGTATACTTCCACACCAAAACCGACAACAATCACAATAATAATAGAGGTAGGAGAATATATAACTCATCCAGTACCTGTCAGACTATATATATATATATATATATATATATATATATATATATCCATTAAAATAACACTGTAATAATTAAAACTTTTCTTCTCAAAAACTGCGTAGATTACGACGTTTTATCATTCCATCAGTAAATTGGTTACAAATATTTCACATGACTGAATTGAATAATTCTTCACTCTTTCAACAAGAACTATTGCCTACTACTACCAACAGAATGTTCTCATTTGACGGTGGTACACTTCGAGTGGATGTTCAATTAGAATTTCAACCACCAATATTACCACAATATTTATATTGTTTCAATCAAAAATTATTCAAAAATGAAAAAAAATTTGATCATTCACCAATTTTTGTAACAATTGGTCATGGTTGCCTTGATTGTTTGCATTTCCTATATCAAATAGAAAATAATTCTTTATTGAAAATTGTTGAAAATGAAAATCCTATGAAGTTCATTCATACAATGCATATTAATATTAATGATTCAGTGTTTCAATCAATCATATCAGGTAGACTATTGTAGTTTTCTTTTGTAAAAATGAGCTAATTTGATAGCTTTTTTTCTTCAAATTAAGGATTAATCTTAGCTAGACGGTCTCTAAAGGAGGTTACCAACATCCAGTAACTGGATCACATTAGTAATGGTTAAGGTTTGATAATGTATGTTTTAAGCACGGTGACAATAATTCAACAAATGTCACTATCTTGAAATGCTTGTTTCCATTGCCTGAATATATGCTATGAATTTTATGCCAGTAAATTTCAATTTGTACATTATTTGCCCGACGCTGAAACTAGGTGGGGAAAGTTTAGAGTTGGTCAACTTATGACATTGGTGAGGTATAAAAGAAAGCTGTATCGGACTGGCGTCTGTTTGTCCCTTGTTCGAATCCGGAAGATGGTACAATTCAATGGCCTAAGATATCATCAGAAATAACTCAGAATAGAAATTAGTGGTATACTACCTATAGGTTTCTTTTATACTTTTTATAAAAGTGAGATGAACTCCCTTTCTTGGTTGTACTTTAATGGAGTCATACCCATTATTACATAATAATCTTGTTCACTAATTTTTTGATTGTACACTCCCTTCTCCCCCCCTCTATGTCATCAAAATTTCATCTCTTTATTTGTGCATCGGTCATACTTATTTTGATGCTCAGTTATGTCAAACTTTGTGTTTTAAACCAGTAATAAATAAATAAGAATGTCAGAAAGGGGTTTTGTGGAGGTTGTAGTAATTTATTAGTTGAGTTTAAAGCTAGACCACCATGGATGTCATTATGAATCAAAGTATAACACCAGATAACCCTTTTAATCCTGTAGTTTGGATCTCTTCAATGGTCCACATTCACATAAGTTCGAATCGCAGACCTTACAGTGACCACAATAACTTTAAGCCTCAATGAGTTGCGGCTAAACTATTAATATTTCCAATTTTATCTAAATTATGGTATACCGCGGTCACCGGCTTCTTTATCATGATGATGTATCCGTGTCAATTCTAACATGGTTGAATTCTAATATACTTTCTCTTTCTCATTAACATGTCAGAAGTCTAAACTCTGTTCTGTCTTTTTCAGTTCAATTAATCAGTTCTCTTTCTTTAATCTGCTTTGATGTAATACTTTTAACTCCAAGTTGAGTATATGAATCCATACTTTGCTAACTAAGAGTAGAAGATACTCGTGAGTTACTAGTATTTGACCACAGATGTCTTAGAAATATTGCTCGCATCTGCTGGGATCACCGAGTAAGTAATAGTGAGGTTTGACACAGGGTATTAGGGAATGATGATAAATCCGTTGATGAGGTCATGAATCTTCATCAACTGAGATGGTTGGGCCACGTGTTACGTATGCCTGAACACCGATTACCACGACGCGCTATGCTGACTAGTGTAGGAGATGGTCACCGACTTCCAATCTGAGCCATGTTGGCTTATGCAGACTACTTGGTTGGGGTCCGCGTGACTATCGTAACCATATCTGTCTTTCTTCCTGTACTATATCCTGATATACAACCTTTTTTATATATTACCACCACAAAATTAACTACTTCTATGAATCCGGTGTTCATCTTGTTGTGCTAACCAGGTATGGCAACTTGGACCGATGCATAAATGTGCCTGGTCCTATGTTGTAGCTGACTGACTTTGCTACCGGATTGTATCGCCAAAAATTTATTGTTTTCAACAAAGATTGACATAATTTGAAGGCGAAAATATAGGAGTCAATAGAAAACTATATTTTGTAGTTTACGCCACGGACTAACTCTAACCAACCGTTACGAGTCATGAAGCACTGGAAGGCTGTTTCGCTCTAATATGAGACTCTTCAGAATTACTCCAGCCTATTAATTCGACGGCCAGGCGCTTTCCACGAAGTCTGAAGGTCCTGAGCTCATCCTTGTTGTGGGTCGTAGATACTCATTGCTGAAATATTTCATACTAGAACAAATCAACTATTCACTTCTTCCTCCTTTTAAAGAATATCTAGCCCTAGTCATTCCCTGACATAAACTGCAGAATCCGATAATAAAAAAAACCGTTGTTGGAATTTCAAATCTCTTATTTTTGCATAGTTTATACATTTCTTGCAAAATCTAGCATACACTACCCTAATTTCTCAATATTTTTAATTTGCGTCGTTCACTAGATATTCATTTTGTTTATCAACTGATTAGTAATGGCATTTACGTAGGAAACTTATCAGCTATGGTTGTTTGATCACTGGTTAGTGCGTGAATAAAGTTATGTTTTTCTAGTCCTTTAAGTGCTGAACGAATTAGATTGATGAAGTTGCGATGTGACCAAACTATGAAATTGGATAATGTGGGTTTTGATCCCACAATAGTCGTCAGCTTCCTCAAAATTACGGGTTATCCTTTGTTGACGAGTACCAATCAGCATAAAAACTAGATTGAATAGGGTTTCTTGCCGACTACCTTGCAAATTATCTAACACACTTATAGACTTATCATTTTTCTACCTTCAAAGAAATCAACCAGTAACCTACATTCTGATGAATTTTCTTTTATTCAATGCAATGAAAAGTAGCGAACTATTTGTTTATACTTGTCTGCACTGTTTTCCTCTCTTTCCATCTCTTGACAGATATTTTCAAAAATTCCATATCATTCTCAAGTAATCATCATGAAAACTTCCTTAAATTAATGGTGAAAAGTAATAATAGCAATAATGGCCAATTATTTTACTGTTGTTTAACACATCAATCTGTCAAATTTGAATGGTCTGTAAATTTAGATCCATTTAATTTTAAACAGGAGAACAAGAAAGAAGGGGAGACAAGTAACATAGACAACAACAATTACAGTTCCAATACCTGGTGTTTTACGATATCTTCTATTTGTTTACAAACATTATGGTCTGTGTATAAAGCTATTGAGTTGCGTCAGAAAATATCACTACAGAAGGTAGGTCTCGTTATCTTATAACAATTAGTATTAACCCATTGTTGTTTCTACTTGCAGATTTTATTGTTTGACTAAATTCCACACCGATATTTTATAAGATGGTCAGCAGAAAAATCTGCTTGAACTAGGTTTCTTGATAATTATCACTGCTAGTAAAGCGAACCTACATTCTTATAAAGAACTTATATTTTTCGTGGGATTCAAACCAGGATCACCAAGCTTCACAATCTGAGACGTTATCAACAAATCTATTTCCCCAAATGCCGTGGTACGGTCAAGGATGAGGGGAGTCCGCTCTCCCTCTAAAAATACTCTCACATGGCCACGCGTATACGGCCACTACCAGGGAAGTCCTACTCACTGCTTTCTCGCGGCATTACTGTTATCTACGAAATTGAGAGGATGAAAAGCGAATGTCTCACTCTTTAAACGTGTTGGTGAATACGGAGGATCCACCTAGGGGAGTTGGAAAACTCTGATTCCAAACCAATTTCATACATAGGCTCCAGGATCCCAAGGGAACAAATGGCATATGAGCCTATTGTTTTTCACCGGCTACCACAAGATTGCGTCTTCTGACGTTGCTTCACTGCCTTGTGGATTAGATGTATAGATCCAAGGCTCTCGGTGTGGCTTTCTAAGAAAACTACCTGCTTTAGCTTGGGCACCCGAGCAGTATCACAGCCCTCACAAAAATCGAATGATTTCAACTTGATTGATAGATTTCGACCACCACTAAGGAGTAGAAAAGCATAATATATTACTCGCTACTCAATGATCAATCATTTTCAACTATGATGTTGTTTGACTGTTTTTTCTCAAATCTTATATATATTTGATCGATTATTAAAGAAACTTTTCAATTATCTATGCTGTTTTTCTGCGACTTCGTTTTATTTTTCTTTGCTTAGAATAATTCGATAGAAACTTTCAAACGTCCTACTGTTGAGCAACTTAGACTAGAATGTTCTATCTTAAAGGTAACTGTTGTTTAGAGAGTATTCTAATTTCAGTACCATTTATTTCACTAAATACTACTTATTGCTCTGAATGAGTAGTCTATAATAACAATAATGCTTGCTTTATTCAATACCATATGTTTTATTACAGTAAAAAAATTCTAAACAGCATCAAATATGCGAAATCGCAACAAAATCGCAGTTCTCAAAGCACTAAACTTGTGAATGTTAAAAAAAGATATCAAAAAATGACTACCGGTTGCCATTCATATTCATCTGTAAATATTTACGGTCAGTCTTGATTCAATGATAATTCTTTCTATCGCCGGAGATTAAGGATATTAAGGTACTAGGTAAATATTTCTTATGGATTAATGAAGTAGTAAACTTTCATCAACCAAGGTGGTTGGGACGTGTGTTACGTCTTCCCAGTCACCAGCTATCTTAAATAAGGATTTTGTTTGGTGCAGGAATAGGTTAGAAGAAAGCTAAGGGTGGCCAAATGTAAGACGAGTAACCAATCTATGAAGTTAATGACGATTGGACTGAGCCATGCAAGTAAGTGAAAACTACTTTATTGGGGTCCATGTAATTATCATAAACAATAGTTGGAGACTCTGAGTGAAATGGCTTCAAATCGTTTTCATATACACAGTCACACCCACTCTTTGTCCTCCTTTATATCCTGAGTTTCCGAATTCCTCATAAATTTTTTTTTATTTCACTGATTTATACTTTCTTGAATCATATCTCCGAAATACAATCCTTCCTATTACCATTAATACTGTTACTACCTGTACTACTCCAGGATTTTCCCTGACGATTTCACCTCACTGTGCTATTGGGGTATGGCAAATGAACGTACCAGGTCCTATGCTGCGTTTGACTACTTGATATCAAAACAAGTACGAAAAACGTCAGAAGTGTAAATTGGTAAAATGAAACTTTCAACTGACACAATAGAATTAAAAATAATTGTTGTAAGTATTAAGAAAATACAAGTACAATAATAAACAGTTAAAATGTATTTAGTTTATGTATATACTTGAAAATATAGTGTCGGAAAAACAGATAACGATATCGTCAAAATTTATTATATTCGAAATGATTACTTTATATCAGTAAGTAGTATGATTGAAATGCTGAAGAGTTAGTAATAGAAAATGCATACAAACTTTACTTTTAAATCACTTTTATTCATGAAAGTAATACACATTGGTGCACCTCACTGGGTTTTTTTTCATTTTTTTTTCAGAAATTACTAACTTCTCTACACGATATTCAAGAAAGTATTAGTAATAAGGATAATAATAATAATAATGTCAACGGTAACTACTTAACAGAGAAGTTATTATCGGAACCAAAGTGTATGCTGAATTTCCTTTTAGACTCCTATTGTGTCATTCGAAAAACAGCAATGTCATCATCTTTATTTTATCAATGATGATGAGGATGTATATTCTGTTGTATATATTTATGTAATCAAAATAAATACCTATGGTCTGTACATGTCTCTTCGGAATGGTATCATTTGATTTGTATTTATAACTAATGAATGATTGAGTGAATTGTGAAACAGAATGACAGAGGTTTCTTCTATAGTGACCATCATTAGAGCTGTATATGTGGAGTTGGATATTCCTCAGACGCCTTAACCGAAGCTAGTGGTTTTTTTTGGAAGCCACTAATCGGCAGTGCGCATCCACAATCCCGCCTAGCGAGATTCTAACCCAGGACCTACCAGTCTCGCGCCAGAGCACTCAACCGATAGACCTCCGAGTCGGCATCTAACGGTGTGTTCTGGGGAGTCTCATAATAGGACGAAATGACCGTCCAGTGCTTCTAGGTTTTCCATGGTGGTCTAGCTTCAATTAACTCATGATTTCAACCATGAAAATACTGACATCTCCACAAACCCCTTCTGATCAATTTCATATTCATCAACTGGGTCCAACCTCTTGATCATGTCGCATGTCACTGAGTTTTTGTTGACTTGTCAACTTGCTAACTAAATTATTTTTACAAAAGTTTATTATCAATAAAAGTATTCAGAAAGAAGCACTTTACTTTTTACACGATGTTCTATCATACAATGAAATGATTAAGTATTGTCGTATATAGCAAGTTCAATCTTCCTTATATGTTTTTGAAGAAAGGGTTGTGAAGATTGTTGAATTTCATTTAAATCGTGGAACGATCAATATTAGACCGCCAACGAAAACCTGGAAGCGCTGGATAGCCGTTTTGTCTTAACATGGTACTACTTGACAGTGCGACCCCGCGCACGTTAACCGAGCCAGAGATCCTGGGTTAGACATTAAAACATCTAAACTACGGTCCATTGGTCTGGAAGATAAGTGTGAAGGTCGCAGGTGCGCACTAATGAGGGGTCCAATACTAGGACGAAAGGACTATTCAGTGCTTCAAGGTTTTCAATAATGGCCTACCACCGACTGGGCCATAATTTCAGTGAATAATAATTGTTACTCGGAATTTATTCCATGGTGTCACAAAGAACGCCATACTTATTATTAGCCTAAAGTTATGCTTATTTCAGTGGTAGTTTGGACTAAATGGTGGCAAAATACTTGATTGTTAGATAAGTGAAATAAATGATAAGAAAAACAGTTCTATATTACTCAAAACTACTCATAAAACGTGAATAGCTGCCAACCATTATCGATTTAGTGACAATTCAAGGCATTCTATTGCTGTGTACTTAACTATCAATAGTTTTTATATAGTGATTTGTGTAGTTTGCATCTCTGATTGACCTCAGACAACCACAGAGAAACCAAGAATGATTGAAAAGCTGTTTTGTTTTGGTATGCGAGTTATCAATAATGACCCACGGCCCCACTGGAGAATCAACCTAGAAACATTGTGTAATGCACTTAACCTTTAGACTGATAGTTCGGCATCTAGTCGTTTATATTTCTAGCATCAAATTATTCGCAATAATGCACGAACACCTTCTATTACATCAGTGAAATTCAGCTATGTTGAATGTTAGGCAGTTGTCAATTAAATAGCATGAAAGATGGTTATGCACTATTGTGAATCGATTGAAGTTAGGAATACCGACCACCGGATGCATAATCATATGGTCTAAAGTTTAGGCGTTCGCCGTTACGATCTTGGGTTGGGTTTTCTGAAAAGTCATGGATTGGTACTGGCGAGGAGTCCCATAGAAGGACGAAATAGCTGCCCATTTCCTGGGTTTTAATGGTTGTCTAAATTAGGTCAGTCCGTCATCCAAACTATGAAAATCAACTACTCACTGTACTAACTTCTCCTAAGAAATTTTTTCAATACTGTTCTTCATATTTAGATGTAACGAGGCTTCAAAAAGTTGGGGGTCATTTGTTTGAACACTTAACTTCTAGCCATTAGTGTAAGATTTAAAGGCTCCCACCTACTAAACATTTAGTTTGTTTACCCTTTTGTACACAGCCTAATGAATGAATCAAAAATATTCTCAGATTTAATTGAAAATTACATACATTATTGTATTTAATGGGTGTTTTAAATTTTCTACTGGTTGACACACGAAACATGCTCATAGACACTTCATTAAATGGTTTTTAGAACAGATGAGATGCAATGCGTACTATTCAACTGAATTTTACTGGATATTGCTCATTTGATTATCACCAGTTCATAAGTAAATATGTCTGACTGTTATGACTTATGGCACTCTCAATTATTATCTCGTGATAAAATTGTCAATTAGATCAGAGACCTATATGACCTTGTCCCTGTGCTAAACCGATCGTGTGTTAACCAGCACGAGCAACCTTGAGCCAACTCTGACTCCTTACTGATAGTAGTTTCTCGCCTAACCCAGTTCATTAGATTTAAATTATTTTCGAAAGTGACTGAACTGTGTGCCAGATCCACTAATTATACACTTAATTTGGTGGAATAAAAAGTATTTTTTTCGTTTTGAAAATGATATTTCCCAGTATTAATCATTAATAGACTAGCTATTAATAGATTTGTTTATACTAACTGCAAAATCCTCAGAAAAATCAAGCTCTTGATCGTTCAATTTCGGGATTTAATATACAAAAGAGATGGATCGATACAACAATCTACCTTTAACAAAGATGGATAGTGTCTAGCAGTGTAATCCAGGACGCGTGTTTTGTCTTTGCTTACAATGCTTGTGAATTAAGGCTACATCGAGGCAATACGCACAGTATGCACATATGCCAATTAGAGACTGACCATTTGCACTTCTAAACATCAATGGGAAGACTCAAAAAAATAATACCAAGTGAATCCAACTTTAGTTTCAAAGTTCATTCAGTAAGCAAGTGTTAGTAAATGGAAAGGATACTACCGAAGGTGTTTGAGATTTTGACCCATTTTGGCCAATCAGAAAGCAGTATGTGAATGGATTACAGTTCAAAATAAGAAAATTTAAGAATATATTGTTTATGAGTGATAAATAAATGTTTACATTTCGACTATACGTCTCTAAATATTGGAGTTTAATGATTGGATTATGGTTCGGTGTTAAAAATAATAGCTAGTTGATGCCGTATCTCCTAATGTTAATCATGAACCCTGCTCCTAAACATATTTTACCCTAGTCCTAACCTCTAACACAAGTTTTTACTCTAATCTTGACCCTAGAAAACATTGCAGTAAAAAATCATTCGTTCTCATGTTTCTGTACACTCATGCACTGTCATTTTATTTCCGCATTCACAAACAAGTGTGTTCAGCAAGCCAACATTTTGTAAATACCTAATGATGTTTTCTTCACAAACACTGGTCACTATACCTTCCACTGTTAGCAACCTGGTTTTATATACCTCGATAAACTTGATACTAGTTTGGTATATACTTCATGACCTTGAAGTTCTTTTCTCTATCCTGATTGGTTCTACAGTACACTTTAGCTTTACCAAAATTTCCAATATGCTTTGAAAAATTGGTAATGATATCACTATCCAAAATAGCACATATGAATCACACTCTGACTTCTGTCCTTATAATCTAATTTCACTATGCTGATATGTTGTAGTGACTTGAACCTGTGCACATATGTATCCCGTGTTCTACATTGTTTACAACTAAATCACCCTTTGATTTCGTTCACATTAATCACTTACATGGTAAAACAATTTATACATTAATTTTAGACTACATTAAAACTTTTTTTTAGAATGTCTAATTAACCAGCTAATTATTCTATGGCATTTAGTCTTGGAAAAACTAACTTCAGTTATTAACAATCTTCTGTCTATTTAGTCTCTTTCGTTTCATTATAAAAAACAATAAAACATTTTAAGTAAAAAGAGAGAAAAAAAACAAATATTCAAGAGCTACCAAGTAATCCATCATTATACACCATTTCTCCCACCTCAAATTTTAAACATTGTTTTCAAAATTAATATGACCAATTTCTCGTTCTAAATACAAATTCATAAGTCAATTGAAGTTAGACCACCATTGAAAACCTGGAAGCATTGGACTGTTGTTTCGTCCTAGTATAAGACTTTTCAGCGGTGCTCGCTCACGATTTAGGATGATTTCTTGAAATTCTAGCGAGAAGTCTTAACAAATGGAGTCTCCACAAACCCTATTGTGATATGTACTAATCAAGGGTAGCTGGGTTGGAATTTTCCAATCGATTTATCAATCCAGACAGACTTATTATTTACCTGTCTTACTATACACATATGGGTATAAATTTATGCCACGCATTAATATAATACATACTACATAGATTAAGTAGACATATAGCGCTTAATATTTCTTTGCTTTTCCTTTTTTTTTTAAAAAAAGGAGAAAGGTGCATTAAACTTTTACAAAGTTTCAATGTCCAGTAAGTCAAATGAATTCTGTTTATTTTGCATAGAAACAGACAAACTAGACACAAACACACACACAACGTTTGTTTAATTTAGTTACATTAATCATTTTAAAACATTGAATATATATTCATGAGAAATTATTAATTTTGTTTATATTTTTGGCCTTTTACAATCTAATTCTCATAAGATTTAAAAATAATTGGAACATAGAAACTAAAAGAGTAATCGATGAAATTAAAACATTGGTAAATAGTAAATTTATGTTTTATAGTTGTCAACGATATAATGGTATTTGGACTCCCGCCTGCTTCACAGAGTTTTACGAATAGATTGAAACTATGAGTTGAGATAAGGTACTACTACTACTACCACTATGAATATCGTTAGTAGCATCAGTAATAGTTGTATTAGTTATGGAAGAGGAAGTTTGGAAATGTCATCATTGTTTGACACCATTATTTCAGTATATAACTCTACAATGATGTTTATTCGTATAAGTAACTATAAGTGGAATCTGCTAGTCTGTAAGAGCTCATTAATTTAGCTAAATAAATTATTAAGAGTATACATATTCGATAATTCATGGTTTATTTGGGGAAACTTAATCGTTTAGTTGTAATGTCAACAAAGTTCCTACCCCGGGTAAATATCAGGTCATAGATAATAATAATATGTAAACTAAGAGTACTTTTAAATAAATAATATATTTGTAATATCCCAATGAGTAGAAAAATCAGATTTTGTCAAAGACCACAAACAGAGGTCTAGAAAGCTGCTAACGAAAATTAAGCTAGGACTAGAATCACAATTGATTGATCACTGGGTGGGAATTACTGTCATGTGTGTCAAGTCCTTCTTAGTGCAAATCGACTGCTATCGATCAAGTTGCAATATGGCCACTTGTCTAGGTGGCTCGACACTGCGTGCACTATGTTGAGATAAGATGGTGATTGGAGGTGGTTAACAGGAAACCCTAGACCCAGGTTTCATGCTACTTGGCACTCAATAGCAAGGTGTACCTATAATCTTGAGGGAACTGCTACTCCATGACGGATTCGATCCCGTGTCACTCAGCTTCACAGTCAGGGACGTTACCACTGAGCTATCCGGGCTGCGACCGACCTTCTGTAGGACTGAGATGTAATCACAATTGTTTGATCACTAGGTGGTGATCAATGTCAAGTGTGTCTTGTCCTTCTTAGTGCAGATCGAATGGTATCGAATCATATCAGTCAAAACCATTCATTTGTGATAAATATTCTTCGCACAAAAAATTATATATCCGATGTAACCGAGTCATCTGACTGAAGTGATTATTTCACATTCAACAGTCAATGAAGTGGATCACAAGTCAACAATACCGGTATTCTATAGTTAAATCACTTTGATATAGTCAATGACATCTACGAATTAACAGTTACCCATCCTATTCATCAACAATAGATTTTTGGGTGTACAGAATATTTTTATAATATGTACTGTAATAAAGTAAAATCCAAAAAAATGTACAGTATAAAAAAGGGAGTCTTTTTTTTTTAACCAAATCCCAAATATAATCCATTTGAAAGTGAATATCAGATAATTGTATGCAAAATGAACAATCAACAATTGGAAGTTCAATTGTAAGCAGGTAAAATATAAAGCATAAATAAATGTGGATAGCAGAATGCAACCGTTGATGAAATTATCCATTAACCAAAGTTCAAAATTTAGGGAATTAAAAGCCATTACAGAAAGTAATAATACTGGTCAAGAAAAGTGAAAAAAGAACAACATAGAATTAAATTAATTACATTCCTTGAGCATCGAAATAATCTCTCATTTCAATTAATAATTGTTTTGCATCATTAGTTCGATTACCAATTTCATAGATTGCAATTAATAGGGAATTTTTTGTTAATAGACCACATAATTCATATTTGCCAACATTATATTCATTTGTATTTGGTCTTGTATAATATTGTACTACATCAGCTAGAAGTATACCAGTTTCATCATCTACATCTTTATACAAACAAGAATCCATAGCTATTTCAAAGTGCCTATCTATTATTGCACGATCTGCTCGTTCAGCCTTATTTATTGTGATAGGCAGTAGAAGTAATAATCGTCATCGAAGATGTCGTGATCATAAATATATCAAAAAACAAAATTATAAAGATGGTTGTAGAAAATTTATATAATTTTCAACTTGAATATTCATAAAATGTAGATTAATTACATTGAGGAATAATGCCATCTAGAATATTACTGAACACTATCGAGTATTTATTGAATAGGTGTTTCACTTTCGTTTAGAACTTATCAAACTTTATACTCATCACTTTGCTAGGGATCAGTCCGAATGATAGTTGCACAGTATTTTGAATAAGTTTAAAGTCGGGAATAGAAATAATCTTATCTTGATTTAATGGTTCTAAAGTAATCCACTAACTGTGTTCCATCCACAGTGAAGTAGTGAATACTGATGGGAAGTTTCAAGCTAAGTGGAAGCATCTTTTCAGTGTTCTCTGATCTCCAATAGTCATTTGTTTGAAGTCAGTTCGGTTTTTTTATTACCTTCAAATTGAAAAGTATCCACAAACATCTTACCTTAATATTAGAGCTTAGTAGCTAACGAAGTTGACATTTTTTGAAGAGAGAATTTTTTCATTATTTGTTGGAACGTCACTAAGAGCCAAAAAACAGCGTTAAATATTTTCCTTTTTAATTGTTAATCTAACCGACAGTGTTAACTATTTGACCCTAGACAAACTGAACTCCAGAATATTTATGTTTTTATTCAGACGAAGTCACCTTATTATTAACCTCAATTAAAATGTATCAACTTCCTCTGTCCAACCTCAGGTGGCCTGCTTGAATATTTGGTCCACCTATTCCTGTCATCTAGAGATTTCAACAAGTTACCCTTCTTTGTTGGTTTTAACACATCATTAAGTCTGTTAATCGCATAAACTATTCAGGAGCGTTTACGATAAGTTTACGACCTTTCGCTGTACAAGTCACGAAATGTACAACCAGAGATATCGTGATGGCTGGAAATATGCATTGAAGACAATGAACATTATTCAGATGTCCATTCCTGAACTGCTGACAACTAACTGGCGACCACTCAATGTTTATCATCAAGACCAATCAATCAATAAAAAAAAGAAACTTGTTAAAATACATTGTGCTGAGGGTTCTGTAGTGTACCAAATACATAATATTAAGTAAAGCCATTAATAATAATACACACTTCTATCTAATCACCACTCTTGTCGACATTAAATAACTTTTAAGTTGTATACCCACCAACGCTATTCATGTTTTTCTTGATGCTCAATAAATCTGATTATTATGAATTTTCAAAATCACCAGTCATTTTAACCTGTTTCGCTTTGCCTTTTTAAAAAAAATCCAACTTTAGTAAGATCACAATACAGAATTATACTGATAAATATTTCGAAAATTACTTTTACTTTTTAATCTTGAATCGTTCACATTCGAATTCAGTTACAATCTTATACTATAAAAGGAGACGAATGGCGGCTAGCATTGGATTTCAAAACGTGTGTTTCTTCATATTTCGGACTCGCCAGCTGGGTGTACCTGCCATGTCCCAGAATTGGTGTTCACTTCGGCGCTCGAACCCAATTACCGTCCGCTTAAAATGCCATTTCATCATATATCCACTTAGCTATTTAGTCCGTATGACCACTGGATTGTACAATGGGGTGGATTTTAATTCATTTTTATCAGTTTTTTGAATCTTCCCATTGACGTTTTGAACTGAGTTTGATCTAAGCATTCCCCACAGAGTACTAATATGCCAAAAAGAGACTTATAATCCATAATTTCAAGAAATTGTCTATCATCAGTTATTCAGGATAGATTAATTATCACTAACGATGGGCCCCAAAATACACGTTTCATCCTATATATGACTTATCGGCTATATGTTCCTGTCACATTCCAGTGTTCATGTTTACATTCACATCTGAACACAGCATCTTCAAGTTCAAACACGAAATGCGATATTCTCTGGGCTAATAACTGCAGGAATATCAATGTAAATCCCTACTCAATGATACTCATTTACTTTCGATTAATATTCGGTGATTTTATTTAACATGTGCCCTCAAAAAGAATTGACATAATTTCAAAATTGATATCAGCAATACTGAACTTCAGTATCAATGAGCATTCTTTGCCGACATTTCAAACCATTCTTCTTACAATGGAATTAAAACAGGTCAATGTGTATTTATTAGTTTAACTGTTCTTGTAATAGAAAATTTCGATTACGGTAATTGGAATGACTCGGTAAATCCGGTGTGTTTGGGTAGAAAATATAATATGTATATGTATGATCTGATCTAGACCTCTATTGAAAATATGGAAGCATTAGAGGGGCGTTTCATCCTAACATCGAACTTTCCAGTAGTATGCATCCACAACCTCGCTTCATGGAGTCAAATCCAGGACCTTTGATCTCTCATGAGAACGATTAACCTCCAGACTACTGAGCCGGCATTCAGCGGTCTTAACTTCTAACTTCAACTAATCCATGATTTCAACAGTGAAAATACTACAATCTTCACAATTCCCGTAGGCTAATCTTATACATGTATCAGTCTAATTCTGCTAACCACAACGATTTAAAATGTTCCTAGCCGATACTTCCACTTTTAAGTGCAAAACCAGATAAGAAACCACTGAAAATACATTGTGATTTTCATGGATTAGAATGAGAAATACCACGCTATGATGTGTAAGCCATTCATTATACATTTTATACTACTAACAAGTAGTTCAAAATATTTTTCTTTAAAGTTCTTCCTGAAGATTTACAACTTCCATCATTTAGAGGTTAGACGGGTCGGCGTCGTTTTTAAAAAAACTTGTACTAGAAACTCAAATAAGAATCAACATGAAAAAAATTCCCGGAAACCACGCCCATATATATGTATATATGTTAAAAGTACTAATCGATATTATCTTTCCTAGTGCATTAGCTATAAATACATTTCAATTGAATAAATTGTGGATTAAAATAGTCTATTTTTAGGGCAAAATATGAATCATAATTGAATCGACGAATGCATTTGAAGCTTGTGTTACGTTTCATTAACTCTCTCGGATTGACTTTTATATTAATAAAAATGTATACTTCAAAGTTGAAATCATTAGTCAATTGAAGCTAGACCACCATCGAAAACCTGAAAGCACTGGACGGCCGTTTCGTCCTATTATGGAACTCCTCAGCAGTGCGCATCCACGATCCCGCACTCGCGAGATTCGAACCCAGGACCTACCAGTTACGAGCCAGAGCCCTTAACCGACAGACCACTGAGCCGGCATCCATCGATGTTAATGTCTAACTTCAAGATACATGTCCTGGAGTTCTAGTGGGAAGCAGTGACCAGTGGAGTTCAACCACGTCTGTTGTGAGATATCAACTCACTGAAGACAATTGGTGAATGGTTGCTCAACTTCGTGGATCAGTTGAAGTTAGATATTAACACCGTTGGATACCGGCTCAGTGGTCTGTCGGTTAAGGGCTCTGGCTCGTAACTGGTAGGTCCTGGGTTCGAATCTCGCGAGTGCGGGATCGTGGATGCGCACTGCTGAGGGATTCCATAATAGGACGAAACGGCCGTCCAGTGATTCCAGGTTTTCGATGGTGGTCTAGTTTCAATCGACTCATGATTTCAACTTTGAAATATACTGAAATCTCCACAAATCCCCTTCTGAAAAATGTATACTGCTCAAACCTAAGTGAAGAAGTGGCTCACATAAAGTCAGAAGTACAATTGTTGTACTCATTGAGATACAACTAAACTAAATCTATTAACAAGTGACGTGGTTTTGAATTTCACAGACAGTATCAGTTTCCTCGAGATTGGATTTTGTAGGGAAACTAAAAAATTAAGACAACAAACTGTCCATCTACGGAAAGTAATTGGGCACCACTGATTCACCTGATCAGTAGTACATGAGCTCAATTTAAACAGTAAGATTTATTGTTGATTAAATTTAAATTGTGGATTATTAGTATAGGTCATTTGTGGAGGCGGTATAATTTTGACAGTTTTAAATCACAAGTTGTTCTTAGCTAGGCCACGATTAAGAACTTAGAAGCAAAAGACGGTCCTTTATTCTTAGTATGGAAATCATTTGAAGTTTACATCCACGACATTGCCAGAGGGAATGGAGGCTAGACGTTCGAGCGCAAGACTGAGGAGTCCCATACTAGGACGAAACAGCTGTCCAGAACTTCCATTTTTTTTCAATAGTAGTCCAGCTAAATTAGAGAATTGCATTTTACACATTTTAGCTTGACAAGAACTTATGCCATTGTAACAAAACATCATGAACAAACTACATATCTTTTAGCAAAAATCAAAGTACGTTGTGATGCGTTATTATTTTCCCCCTAACCTTTTTACTTTAAACGTATGACCATGTTCATTATCCATAACTTGATGGAGTTATTATGCAATTTTACAAACTCTTTTTGTTCTGAGTATTTCAAAATGAAATATTCATATAGTATAATACTGGTCTATCATAGATTAGACAGAAGTTTTACCTGTATCAGAGTTCACTAACAGATTTGTAATTTCTCCACCTCTGTCCTATTGGATTTCTCATTATTGCAACTATGTACCTTCTCTTTAGATAGAAATCCCCTTATTCAGTCGAATAATCTAGATTGGAATCAAATATTACACAATACCGATAGTACACTATTTCTTAAGTTAATCACCATGTGACTACTTTGTTTTATCACAAAGTAACATTATCTAAAAATAACCTTGAAAACAAAAGAAACAACTGAATGCTTGTTGTGTTTTAGTTTGCAACTTTCCAAAACTTACCATCTATATGTCTTTAGTTAACAGATAACTAACAGTCTTCGCAACTAACGGTAAACACGATAACTTAAATTTACATGGTTTCCAATAATTGTTTTGCTAACATCAGATTATGATGAAAAGTACCTATGGATTACATGAAAATCACTGTGAATTAAATACATTTAACGATAGTTAATGGTATAGGATATTCATGAAAACTATTGAATAATATATATTCATTATGAACTGAGTTAATTTAAGTAATCATGGAAGCCAGAAAGCTCTGGACATTTGTTTAGTTATAATAAATGGTTCTTGGAAGTAAGCATTTACTACCTCACTAAGAATAAGTTCATGAAATAACTCGCATATTGGACAAACCTCACAAAATCTTTATAGTAGCAGTAAAAGTGTACTCTGGAAAGGAATCCTAATCTCAATGGAAGTCCGTTACTGGTGGAGTTCAATTATGGTGAAAGAGGTATCATCGATGCTATTAGATAATAATTGACTGAAACTATAAATCATGAGATGTTAACTCAGTGATCCGAATGTTAAACGTTCTAGATGAGATCTTCATGTACTGAGTGTACTGGTGAAACTACACGATTTAGAAGTTCATGCTGAAACAAAACAGCTGTTCAATTTTTCTTAGTTTTCATTAGTTGTCTAACTAAATTCATTCTGTGATGTAAACTACCATTATCACCAATAATAATAATAATAATAATAATAATAATAATAATAATAATAATAAATAACCACTTACCTGTGATAATATCATAAATTTATTAATTTGTTCAATAGATGGTGTAAAATCCTCTGGTCCATAAGCATTTATTGCACCTGATCGACGATTGCATATAACGGCTTTTTTCACTAGTCTTGTACCCAATATACTGTTTTTTAAAATTCTATCATATACATCAGAACTGGTTGTTTGATCAAACTAGAGAGCAAAAAATAATTGTATAAAAAGGAAACTTATGGAATAAAATAAGTTGATTTATGTGAAACAGTTACCCACTAACAGTATTTGAAGATAGCTTTTTACCTCATATATCACGAATTAAGCGATATAAGAAATGTAAACCATAGGATATTGGCTTAGTAGTTTGAAGGTTGAGAGATTTTATTTAGGACTAAGCGTCCTGAGGTCGATGCTACTTGATGAGGTCCTACATGGACACTACTGAGTCCTGCACTACGAAGAAACAGCTATCCAAGGACTCCTAAATGTCAGCGGTTGTACAATTAAAGTCAGTTTATGTTGTAAAATAAGAGATCTTATAGAAGATTGTATAAAAATTCCTTTTATTCAAGTTGACTTATTTGGGAACTAGAGAAGTGAAAGGTAAATATCGGAAGAACCTAAGTTCGTCCAAGTAGTTGCAACTTACAACTATATCATTTGCTGTTCACAGTTATATAACATTTAAAAAGTACCCCACTTAAAAATTTTATTTTATATGAACAGATCATTTTGCACTCTACTGAATTAGATGGTAACTCATCTACTTTACTCCAATTCTTGTCTAGAATTTTGAACCTAATATCACTTGGAGTCTTTAACAAAGGTTACCAATGTTCTAAAGATATTTATGTTGGAATATGTACAGCTATACCATGTGAAATATTCCCTATTCATTATCTCACCTAGACAAAAGTATGAATCAGGCTACAGTGGAATATAATTGTCTTTGAAAAAAAACGCATTCACAACCGTCATGATTAATATTCATTCGTAATTGGTAAAATATATATTTCTTTCTTAAAAAGTGTGTCATCTAGTTGTTCCATAGTTTTATACTTAAAAGTTCAGATCCATGATAATAACGGATAAACCACGTGTAAACCTTCAGTTAGATTGACAGAAGTACATCACAAAAACATTTTTTTCAGAAAAGTTACATCAACCCATCTATCTATCCACAGATCAATTCATATATGTGTGTCCATACTGAAACATACTGTTTCCTGTAATTGTAGCAGTCGTATGAAAGAAATCCTGGGTTGGTCATTAGATTTACGGAGAACAGTTTTATATTCAGATAGTTTTTATCACGGACTGAGTTCATTTAAGATGTAATTGACAACCGATTTCTTCGTTTGATCAGATACCACTATGCATCGCACCAAATTCCTTTAGTTCTTGTTATGACTGAGTTACTTTTAGACTATTGATTCAAAATCTCAACTTGAATTAGTATACAATTTATTGCTATAAATCTTTCATGCTAGAACGAAACAATTCCTCAGGAATCCCTGGTTTCAGCACTATCCCTAACTAATATTGATCACTGACAAAACTTAATCACTTACTTACGCCTGTTACTCCCAATGGAGCATAGGCCGCCAATCAGCATTCTCCAACCCACTCTGTCCTACGCCTTCTTTTCTAGTTCTATCCAACTTTTGTTCATTCTTCTCATGTCTGTCTCTATTTCTCGGCGTAATGTGTTCTTTGGACTTCAGGATCCATGTGAGGGCTTGCCTTGTGACGCAATTGGGTGATTTCCTCAATGTGTGTCCTATCCACTTCCAGGGATTCTTCCTGATTTCTTCCTCCACTGAAATCTGGTTTGCTGTTTCCCACAGTAACTTGTTGCTGATAGTGTCTGGTCATCGAACCCGAAGTATTTTGCGTAGACAAGTGTTAATGAACACTTGTATCTTCTCGATGATGGCTCTCGTAGTTCTCCACGTCTCCGCCCTATACAGTAGAACTGTCTTCACATTTGTATTGAAAATTCTGACCTTGATATTGGTTGACAATTGTTTTGAGTTCCACATGTTCTTCAGTTGTAAATATGCTGCTCTTGCTTTGTCAATCCGCGTCTTCACATCTGCATCAGATCCACCGTGTTCATCAATGATGCTGCCCAGATTTGTAAAGGTTTCCACATCCTTCAAAGCTTTTCCGTCAAATGTAATTTGATTGGTGCATGTTGTATTGTATCGGAGAGTCTTCCTTTTCCCTTTGTTTATATTGAGACCTACTGCATCACTGACAAAAACCACCTATTAATTCTGCCTCATTTAATAATGGATGTAATGTATCATGTAAACGAACATGTAAAACAAATATATGTATTGTAATTTACTTCGTATTGTCATTTATTGATTGAATAGCTGGTTATTATTATTATTATTATTAGTAGTAGTAGTAGTAGTAGTAGTAGTAGTAGTAGTAGTATCAAACAAACAACCATTAAAAAACGAGTTAGTAACAATAATAATAATGACAATGATTATAACACTGAAACTTTCAAACCGATCATGTCACTGAGACAACTAATTGTATACAGCTAGTAACAATAATAGAAAAAAACATATATATATATATATAAACAATCACACACAGTCTATTCATTTGATATATTTACATATAAAATGTTCTGTTCATAAAAACGATACAATTATTCAGAAGCACACTATCATTGATTATTTAGCAGTACCCAATGTCTTATTTATCTAATCCTTAGTATGAATCAGATTATATTGATTAAATTGAATGGAATGTGGAAACTATTCTAAGTACTTCATAATTATGTGTAATATGACATCAATTTATATGAAATCCTTGTTTAAATTAAGTTTTCTGATAGTTACTATTGGTCAGAAAAATTCACACTTCAATATAATCAACCTTTGGGTATTGTTATAAGCATAACTGTTTAGAATTATCTTCATAATTTAAATCACGAATTGATCTTAGCTAAACTACCATTAAAGACACAGAAGCATTTAGAAGTTACTTCATCTTAGTATGTGACTCCTCATCAATTCACATCCATGAACTCGCCACAGGAGATTGAACCAGTTATCTTATTATTCAAAAAAAATCTGTGTTTAAAAACAACGAACTGATTAAATCCTTAATATTCTTCTAGTAATCTACACCGGGTTATATCTTCGAACTCCTGTTATCAGGACAGCTCTTCAATCACAAGTTGTATTCAAATTCGAGTACATGGATCTATACTCATCTAAAGTTAACTTAATCCTTTACTAATAAAATGATTACAGAATGACTACATGATTTTGGAAATGTCATGTTACCACACGTAAACTAAAAAAAAAATAGATAACTATCAACTTTATTTTGGCTTTTTATGCAATTCTAGAACCAGTATCAATTCAGAAATAAGTATTAATTCAATAGATCAAGTGTTAGTAGTGTGTTTGTTTTTTTCTCTACATTGATTTCAGTTTTTTTTATTTAAAAAATTGTGTAATTATGTAACACTTAAAAAAAATTAGATTTTGTAACTAATATAGTAACAGCACAGAATTACACACCTACATTGAATGTTCATTTATTGATATTGAAATTTAAATTGTTCACAATTAATTAGATTGACGTGTCATAAGAATTGAATGAAATTAAACTATATTTACGATTAATTCACTTTATAAATATACACATGCAACAAATAGGTGACTGACTTTTTGTATGTTCTAATGATAATCAATTATACATACACAAATATAGCAACCTGTCAATATTAGATAGGATTGTGTATTTGAAATTCTTTGTAAAATATTGGACATTCATATACTTTTCAATCTAGTTAGATTGACTTATAATTCTCATCAGTGTGGGGTTGTTGAGATTGTTAAGCTTTTGATTGAGATCATGATTGGATGAATGCCGGACCACCGTTGAAAACTTGGAAGAACTGGACGTCCGTTTCGTCCGGCAGTGTTTATCCATGATCGTTAAACTATAATGTACAGAAGGTTGGACTATAGAGATTTAATTATTGTTTAATATGTTAATATATAGGTGAAAGTGGGAAGGAGATGGTCATCAGTGTCTTATCATTTTGCAGTTATTTGTAGATTAGATTAGTTTCTAAATTTGATTCAGTTTGTAGAATGTGAAAAGCCTTCATTCATTTGATAAAATGGATGAAGTAGTGAAAAAAACTTACAACCAAAATCAAATAACTAAATAGTCAAGTTTGTATTTCAGTGATCTTGTAGTGTGGTGTGGTCTACTTATATCCATATAAGTAGCATATGGTGTGGGTCAGACATAGAATGTATTTTGGCAGAAGACCGATGAGTAAAGAACTGAAATGAAGCGCAATCGTTTGGAAAATTCATGAGCAATGGAATAAGAGAAGAAACAGTGAAGATTGAAACAATTGGTTGTTAATTTGCAAATTGACTGTTTATTGTTTGGTTATCAGAATTTACTGAGATAGTCTGTAATCTTTGCTTAAATGCATTTGATTGTCCCCAACCAGTGTTCTGTTCATTACAGTAGTAAGTAGTGTTTCTGGATACGAAAATATATCGACTAATCTATCAAAAAGATTCTGATGATATTAACAATCTTTTAAGTAAATTATTATTGTTTTTATTGAGAAAAATTAGTTGCTGTTAAGAGCTAACCCTTCCTAAAGCCCTTGTACGGTTAGTTTGACCATTCACAACCCTGGTTAAATAAGGAGGATTAGTCAGGAGGTTAGTAACCTCGTCTCCTAAAGAAGAACCTTACCAAAAAATATGTGCTAACTAGAATAAAGTCAAGTAAACACTGTACAACTCAATTAGAATTCGGTGTTGTCTTGGAAATTCTGTATATTGCTGTAGTATGTTTCGAGGAAAAGAGAGAAGAGAGAGTATTAGTAATAAGATTTAATAATCCAGTGTGATATATTATCTGGTTACTTGCATAACCCAATGATGTTAGGTGTTTCAAGATAATCAGAAGAAAACTATAAAATCCAGTTTTAAGCAAGTTGATGCTTTTTAGCAAGGTGTACCTGTAATCTACAACGAACTGGTGCTTCCTGTGACAGTCCAACCGATGTAACCTAGCTTCAAAGTCCGAGTTTTCCAGCCAGTGACTAGACTTTTGTAGGACTGAGATATTTACAATTGATTAATCACTATGTAATAACCACCGTCATGTTTGTCTAGTCCTTTAGTGTTGAT